AGGGGTCTAAGGTCTGACGGGGGTCTGATCTCTGACGGGGGTCTGACTGGGGTCTGATGGGGGTCTGATTGGGGGTCTGAGGTCTGAAGGGGGACTAACGGGGGTCTGAGATCTGATGGGGGTCTGAGGTCTGACGGTTGTTTTATAGGGGTCTGACGGGTTACTGACGGGGGTCTGATGGGTGTTTTATAGGGGTCTGATGGGTGGTCTAACGGGTGTTTTATAGGGGTCTGATGGGGGTCTGAGGTCTGACGGGGGTCTGTTTGGTCTGACGGGGGTCTGTTTGGTCTAATTGGGGTCTGACGGGGGTCTGTTTGGTCTAATTGGGGTCTGACGGGGGTCTGATTGGTCTAATTGGGGTCTGACGGGGGTCTGATTGGTCTAATTGGGGCCCGATGGGGGTCTGATTGGTCTAGTTGGGGTCTTACGGGGTCTGTTTGTGATCCAGTTCCAGACGTGTGCCGTGCGCCACTGTAAGAACGCCTTCGGCTGCAGTTTCCAGCATCAGTCCGGATGGAAACTCGCCTTCTCCGGGGACACCATGCCCGCCGACGCACTGGTCGCCGTCGGTAAGCAGCACAAGGATGGATATCCAACTCCACCCACATCCAAGTCGGCCATTTTGATTAGGTCACCAATAGGAAGATCCCAGGCAAGAAAATCCTAATTGCATCATGGCAATATAGACATTAATTTAAAAGTAGTGAAATTAATCTTGCAAACACTGAATTAAACTCTATACATAATATTATGTTAAAATAGTGGATGTTAAATAGGTTTGTACAATAAGTCCAAACAAGTTTAACCAAAATATATTTATTTCTCACAATTATGAAGGTTGGAGGGTTAGGGTTAGAGTTAGGATCAGGGTCAGGGTTACGGTTAGGTTTAGGACATCGTTTGTCTTACGATTTCGTATAGACAGTAAAGTTTCATTTCCACCTCATAAAGCTGCTAGTCACATGACCTATTCAAAATGGCCGACTTGGCTGTGGGAGGAGTTGGATATCCAGCCGAAGCTCCTACAGGCTGTTTCAGGGATTCAGGAGAAACCTCCTCAGCTCTGGATAACTGACCAGACATTTCCCATTACCCTCCGTCTTTGTCGACTCTTCTAAAACTGCTCGACTTATGTCTGATTTCCCAACTCAGACTCTCAGCTTTTTTTTTATTTTTTATTTATTTATTTTCCAGGGAAGGACGCCACGCTCCTGATCCACGAGGCCACGCTGGAGGACGAGCTGGAGGAGGAGGCTCTGGAGAAGAGACACAGGTGAGCGCGAACAGGGCCTTTAGCCCCGCCCCCTCCCCGTTAACGGGGCGGCTAACAGAACGGCTAACGGGACGGCTAACGGGACGGCTAACGGGGCAGCTAACGGGAGGGCTAACAGGGTGGCTAACGGGGCGGCTAACGGGGCGGCTAACGGGGCGGCTAACGGGACGGCTAACCGTGCGGCTAACCGGACAGCTAACTCAACTCAACTTTATTTATAAAGCGCTTTTAGTCAGCCAAAGCTAAAATCAAAGCGCTGTACAGGACATTTGAGCAGATCATAAAACACAATTATCACCACAACACAAGACAAACTCAAAGATTAAAAACAGTAAGAGCAAAAAATAAAAAACAAAACCAAGTAAGAGAGGGAAATTAAGACAACTACGATACTAAACTAACTGGGCGGCTAACCGGATAGCTAACGGGGCGGCTAACCGCTAACGGGCAGCTAACTGGACGGCTAACGGGACGGCTAACAGGACGGCTAACCGGATGGCTAACGGGACGGCTAACGGGACGGCTAACGGGACGCGTAACGGGATGGCTAACCGAACGGCTAACCGTGCGGCTAACGGGGCGGCTAACGGACGGCTAACGGGACGGCTAACTCAACTCAACTCAACTTTATTTATAAAGCGTTTTTAGTCAGCCAAAGCTAAAATCAAAGCGCTGTACAGGACATTTGAGCAGATCATAAAACACAATTATCACCACAACACAAGACAAACTCAAAGATTAGAAACAGTTAGAGCAAAAAATAAAAAACAAAACCAAGTAAGAGAGGGAAATTAAGACAACTACGATACTAAACTAACTGGGCGGCTAACCGGCCGGCTAACGGGCCGGCTAACGGGGCGTTTAACCGGACGGCTAACGGGGCGGCTAACGGGACGGACGGCTAACGGGGTGGCTAACGGCACGGCTAACCGGACGGCTAACGGGGCGACTAACCGCGCGGCTAACGGGACGGCTAACGGGACGGCTAACGGGACGGCTAACGGG